GAAGGTTTCATCTTCTTCATCAGAACTTGAGCTTCTTAGAATTTACCAGTTTCACTTTCTGTCACTGTCTCTCTGCTATAACCTTGAACAGGTGTGTCACAGGTGTGTCACAGTCAGATGAACTGACCCACAGGTGAGACACAGTTTACTGATGTGACCTCATCACTGTCCTCTGGTCCTCTGTGTCTCTGCAGTCAAACCCAGACGCCCTCAGGTGTGGAACGTCACCTTCAGTCCCGAGGCTCACCAGGCGCTCATTCACATCCGGACTCCATACCACAAAGACTACCTGAGAGTGGACAACCAGCTGTTCCAGCTGCACATCTGGACCACAGGACGCCGCATGGTAAAGCACTTGGTTCAAAGATAAGATCAGAAGACGAGGGTTGTCCAGACAACTCCGTCTGAATGAAGAGTTTCCTCTTCAGAGAGTGACTGACGTCTTTACCTCAAAAATGAACCAGAGAGGAAATGACTGACCTCAGTCTGACAGGATTTCAGGATCAATGAGATCCTCACACAGAAACACAATGTATGATATAAATGTTTCTACAAGAGGATTTCTTATGCCACACGTATACATCCTCTGGATATATGAAGATAGAAGTTTATAAGACATATGAAATACCCGTAGTACAATTTGTATATGTACATCAATATTAAAAATGTGATGAATCTTTACATGGTATAACATAAATATTAACATTTCATTTATTTATGCAAGTTTATTAAATTAATTAATTAATTATTTACGTTTATATATTTGACTTATTAATTTAAACATGTCTTACTTCACAGTGTCTCAGACTTTATAAAATATCAACATTTATTGACAGACTGGATATATATCTGTGTAACATCTGTCTACAATATAAGTATACAAACATAAATGTATGTATTTGTACAGGCTAGATATGTTTTAATATAATAATAATATATGTTATTTCAGTGATGATTGATGTTTGTGTCCACCACAGATTCAGAACGTGTCCTCGGAGGACACCATGAGGATGGACATGGAGCACCTCCAGAGGAACACTCAGTACCATGTGGAGGTGCGTTCGATCCCCGCCAAGTTCTTCAGAGGCAGCTGGAGCGAGTGGAGCGACACCTTCAGTTTCTTCACTCCTGCAGGTGAGAGGAACCCTTTCAGTTCTACTGCTGAGAACTGAAGAACAAAGAACAAAGAGCTCTTTAACCGTGTCCTGTTTCTTCTCCAGAGGAAGACGTCCAGGAGGCGTCCGCTAACAGGCAGGATGTGCTGTATGGACTGATGGTGTGTCTGGTCCCGGTGGTGCTCGTCACCTTCAGCCTTGTTTTCTTCTGGAAGAACAAGTAGGACATTTCTGCCTCCTCCAGAGGATCAGAGAAACTCCAGGTTCCTTCACTGATCGACTTTTCTTTCCGTCCTCAGGATCTTCACCTACATGTGGCCGAGCATCCCTCGTCCGAAAGACACGCTGGTTCAGATCTGCAAACCCAACAAGGTGAGACTGAAGGGAAGCACCACACAGGCGGAGACAGGCGGAGGTGTAGAGCTGCCTTTGGTCTGTGAGCTGATCTCATGAATTTGTAACGTGGAGCGGCTCAGAGGCGACCGGCAGCTACCACCATCTTTTAAGGTGGAATGTTTTCTTGAGTGTTACTTGATGCGTAATTGACATTTGGAAATCAATCAATACACCTTTAATGTCAATATGACTTTGATGGGCTCTTTAGTGATGATCGGATCTTCAAGTGATTAAAAGTGAATATAAATTATATGAACTGAAGATATTTTATTTCATCACTTGGAGGAAAAAAAGTAGCGGAGCGTCATTCAGGTGACTCCAGCAGCTCTACACCTGTGCTCACAGGGCTAGTAGCTTTGAGCTAACTGCTAACAGGCAGCCATGAACATGTTAGCTCTGTCAGTCACAACATCTCTCTGTCAACAAGGCGAAGGCGTGGTCATCTGTTGATGTCGTAGACCATGAAGGCTGAACTGTAATGAGTTGCTCTGGTCTACAGTGGATTTTCACTTTGTCTCACAAGCTGTTCTCGCTCTTACTGTTGCGTTACCTAGCAACCTTGACAACATGTCACTTCATTTCACATGAACTTTCTTGGTTTTAACTATTGAACTGAAACACAATCCTCACATTAACAGTGTAATCCTTAGTCTCTCTGTCACTGTGGTTTGCTGACATATCATTTTCATTACCGGAGCGCAATGAATCATGGGATATGTTCGAAAAAAGGACACGTTTGAAGGAGCCTTTGAAATGGGACAGTTTAGTCTCGCCGCTGTGCTCGGCCTCTAAATGAACCTCTGGAGGAAGAGATGCTGATCACAGCTGCTGTTGATTTGAGACACTTGTTGTAAACAGCAGTTACTGATCTCTGTGGAAACTAACCGCGCTGCTCTTCTGCTCTCGCAGGGTCTTCTGTTGAACTTCAACCCTGAGGAGTTCAGTGCTCTGAAAGTCTGTCCCGTGGAGAGGACAGACGTCCGTCCCTGTGAGGACCCAGAGTCTTCAGTCAGTCCTGCAGCTGCTGACAGTTGTCAGTCCAGTGATCCCTGCTCCACCCAGAGCTCGGACTGCAGGAGCACCACCAGCATCAGCACAGAGGAGCTGGAGCTCTCCGCCCTGCTGAGCCGGGGCTCCTCCGACGGAGAGGACAGCCTCCACAGCGCCGGTCCGTCCCCCGTCAACGTCCTCCAGCTCGGGGACGGAGCCCTCGCGCCTCAGGCTGAAGGCAGCGGTGGAGCAAACGAGACCGAGGTGTTTGGAGGGAGTCAGCAGGAGGAGGCCTACGTCACCATGTCCAGTTTCTATCAGATCAAGTAGGTCAGGACCAGGACCAGAGTCTGTTTATCAAACTTCTGAGAATTACACTTCAAGACGTCAGGTCCACAGGGGAATCTGAAACCACGTGAAGAGGTCAAACCTCCGGCTCCTCATCTTTAGACCACGACCAGAGGTTTGACCTCTTCACACTCCATGGAACAGAGTGGAACCTCCTCCTGCTCCACTTCACATCTGTACAGATGTCCACGTTCTCCAGAGGATGAATCCCTCTGACTTTGATCCTGACGGTTCCTCTAGTGAAACAACTCGACAGTAATTAGAGAAATTTGACATTAACATTGTCTCCACAACATTTTCCCAGTTGTTCATGCTCCTCAGAAGATGAACCAGCAGATCAGTCTTTTCCTCTGTCCTGTGAAATATCTCAGTGTCTTTTACTTCATGTTCCCCTCAGGATGAATCCTGCTGACGTTTCACACAGCACCATCATCATCTTTGCTTTCTGAGCAAGTATCTGATATTTCCCATCAGCCTCAGCTGGACAGAGTCCCGCCCCACAGAGCTGCTAGCATGGCTGGAGACTCTCACTAAAATCCTTCAAGTCAAACAATCTGTCGTTACGGTGACCACGACCTGTGACTAGTGGTTACCATGGATACTGACTGATGGTATGGGACCATGAGAGCTCCCCAAGAGACTGACTCTGAGGTCACACTTCAGTCGTCAAAATAAAAGTCCATTCATTATGTTATTCTGCAAAAACACGCATGCTTTTATTATTGATTTAAAAAAAAAAACATTTAAATCTTCTGTAGCAGTTAAAGGATCTCTGACAGTTTATTATGACAAAGAGAAAGTTTTTGATAAAGAGCTTTTATTTTGTAGGTTTGTGAGTGAAGGTGTAGCAGTTTGATAAATGGGGTGAAACACCCAGAAATACTGAGTTGTATCTTTTTGTGTATTTAGTTGCTTTTATAATAATAATAATAATAATAATAATATCAGATCTGTTTTCATAATATGTCACGTGTCGTATCTGGACGCGTTTTTAGTTGTCTGCTGTCGTCCAGGTGGTTGTGGGAGGAGTCTTAGATCGTACCAATGGTTCTGCATGTGACCATCCAGGCAGCTGATTGGTTAAAGGCTCAGTTCATCCGTCAGCTGACATTATTGAACCCCTGTACAGATGAGTGACACATGAAAGTCATTCTGAACTGAAGAGTGTGAGTCAGCTGTTGTTCCACCACGAGTCTCGAGAACATCTGTACTGCTCCTGGTCGTCAATTCTTCAAATGAGGAGAGTTCTCTGTAACACATCACTACAAAGTCTCCCATAGTCTTCATCCACATAAAGAGAAACCCTAGAACTTTGTTAAGGTTCACTAGAACCACCTAAAGGACTGTAACACCTCCCAAATGACCTCAAGAATCTCCTGTAGAACCACAAAAAACAAGCGAGAACCATCTAATTGACCTGAGGAACCACAGAAACCATCCTTAGAACCACACAGAGGACACTTTGAACCCCTTCACTGACTACTAGAACCACACGAGGGATACTTAGAACCTTTTCAATGACTACGGGAGCCACATGAAGGACAAGAACCACCTAAATAATCCCTATAACCAAAGACACTTAAAACCTCATCAGTTGCCAAAACAACCACCTAAAGAACCACTAGAACCACTTTAAAGATCCCTAGAACCTCCTCGATAACTAGAACCACCCAAAGAACAACTAGAACCACTTTTAAGATACCTAGAACCTCCTCAATAACTAGAACCATCCGAAGGACCACTAGAACCACTTTAAAGATACTTAGAACCTCCTCAATAACTAGAACCACCCAAAAGAACCACTAGAACCACTGAAAATCCCTAGAACCTCCTCAATAACTAGAACCATCTAAAGGACACTAGAACCACTTTAAATATACCTAGAACCCCCTCAATAACTATAACCATCTAAAGGACCACTAGAACCACTTTAAAGATACCTAGAACCTCCTCAATAACTAGAACCATCTAAAGAACCACTAGAACCACTTTAAAGATACCTAGAACCTCCTCTTAACTAGAACTACCCAAAGGACAACTAGAACCATTTTAAAGATCCCTAGAACCTCCTCAATAACTAGAACCACCCAAAGGACCACTAGAACCATTTTAAAGATCCCTAGAACCTCCTCAATAACTAGAACCACCCAAAGGACCACTAGAACCATTTTAAAGATCCCTAGAACCTCCTCAATAACTAGAACCACCCAAAGGACCACTAGAACCATTTTAAAGATCCCTAGAACCTCCTCAATAACTTGAACCACCCGAAGGACCACAAGAACCACTTTAAAGATACCTAGAACCTCCTCAATAACTAGGAGCTCCAAAGGACCACAAAAACCACCCAAACAACCTCTACAACTAAACAATCGACCAAGAACCTCCTTCATGTTCTCTAAATAATGCAGCTCCAGAGTTCCTTATAGACCTTTCATCAACATCAGTTCTCACCTGTCACCTGTCTGTATGAGGATTCATTAAAGTTTTTTAATGAAGTAAAACATAGAACACAGAGAGGTCCTTTAAAAAAAAGCTGCTGGTATCTGACATCGTCATGACGACGGTGCTGAACAGTCTGCAGACGAGCTAACACTTTCAGTTTGTAGTCATGGAAAATGCCAAACACAATGCTGCTTCTTCAAATACCTGACACAACCTACACCTCATGTTTCCTCCACAGCGGCTGGAATAAATACTCAGAATGTATTTACGCTTTATTTTCTCAGAACATATTCACTCCACATTGATCTGAACTAAATACACTGTGTAAACGTGAGGATGATGTGTGACTGTACCTGTTACAACCTGTTGTTTAACCAGTGGTTTTTATTTAAACAAAGCCGATTGTGTTGCATATCGATGTAAAATAAAGTAGAAAAATGGGAATTAAATGTTTTTCCACAAGTTAATCTCCATTACAACATGATTCAATATACATGAAGATAATAATCCAGTTTTAAAAAAGGACAAAATCACTCTTAACTATGATACTTACTACTTCATTTGGAAAGAAATTGGTAACAAAGTTATAGATCAGATCAAGATGTAATGGTGATTAATGACAAAAGCTCCTTTTTAACAGTCGGTGACGGTTCCACGTCCTGGTTCAGAGCCTCCAGGCGTTTCTCATCATTAGAATAAAGTAGACGTCACTGTCGATGGAGGCGCTGACTCCACAGTAATAGTTGAGAAACTCCTCTTTGGTCACCTGTCGATCAGAAGAGACACTTTACTGCTGCGTAACGGAACCATGAGGAGGATTGATTAACTGTCAGTTTGATCAGCTGCTGGTTTCCATCCAAACGATCACACACGTTCAACAGACAGAGATTCATTTAGGAAAAGAAAGTGAATCCAACAAATTCACTGCATGATGAACATTTGAAATTCAAAAAAACAATCAAGAAATTAATAAAAATTACATTTGTACTGAAAACTTATCAATACACTTATTTATAGTTTGGTTCAAGATAAAAACTTCAGCCTGTGTTTTGACTCAGTTTGACAGTAAATGCTGCTGTCCATGTATTTAATGATATGTAACCATATCCCACTTACAGTATCCACAGTGGAATTAAAAAAGTATAAAAAAAGAAAAGTTAAAAGTGAGGCATGGTCATTTTACTTTAAATAAAAACTTTTAATTTACAGAAAAAACGGATTAGCTTCATGTTTGGATGGAAACAGTGAGCGAGGCTGTTTGATTGTTCAGGAGTGTGAACATGTCCAGGAAGTGAAAGTGATGATTTAGGAGAATCGAGTTTATTCAAAGTGATTGAACAGAAAGATGAAGGATGATGTATGTTGTATGGTTCTTTGAGTCCAGATGCAGATTTATTTTCACATATTTATTTATGTTTTCTTCTTCATTTTTGAAATAACAACCATACAATATACTGTGCAGAATATTTCCAGACTTGAAATAACAGTCTTTTGTAAAGTGGAAAATCTGCCGCCCTCCTGCCATCACCCGTAGGTTGTGTTTGTTTACCAGGCCGACGCAAAGTCAGAGTTTCCAGGCATTTCTCATCATCACAAGAAAGTAGACGTCAGTGTCGATGGACGCGCTCACACCAGCATAATAATTCATAAACTCCTCCTGGGTGACCTTCAGAGAGCAATGCTGGCGTGAATAAACAGCTGTCTAATCATGTATGAACCTTTTCAGACAGATGTGTGAGTGTGAAGGTCTCAGACGTGAAGTGTGCAGATCTGTGGGAAACTGACACATTCACAGACCTTCACACACAGAATCTTATCACCTCAACCACTTGAAGAAAAACAGCCTGTCAACTTTTTACCTTTCCATCTTTGTCATACGGAGAGTCAAAGCTGTCCAGGAATTTCCTGAAGACCTGATCCTCTGTCCACTCTCCGTTCTGATACTTGGGGTGGTACTTGGCGTTATAAACCCCCTGCAAGTCTTCAATGGTGATCACCCCGTCACCGGTCTTATCCAGCTTCCTGAACGCCTGCATGACCACCTCCTTCCTGGCCTTAGACATGGGTGGCTGCAGGTACCAGGTCACGGTGGTTAGGAAACATGAGGTCACCTGTTACCTGTACAGTACCTGACATGTATATTTACCCTCAGAGTGATGAGAAACTCTTCGAAGTCGATCATCCCACTCCCATCACGGTCAAAGTGCTGGAACAGAGTGGTGGCCTCCTGTTTCTCCATCAGGATCCCGTAGTCGTTCAGACCCTTCAGGAACTCTTTGAAGTCCAGGGAGCGGTTGTTGTCATCGTCCATTATTTTGAAGGTTCTGATATAACACGTTATGACATGAATCAGAGGCCTGCAACATTTTACACGGGTATCATCAGCAAAAGGTATCACATGAAAACATGATGTCAAATTGATATTTACATGATAATTAATAAGATGCAGAATATGGATTATATGTAAACAACATTTAGTAGTTGGAAGAGGTGGAGCTGGGTGTCCTCCTATACTGTTGAGTAACCATGCATCATGTTTTAAAGTGAGCAAGTTTTATATGTGATGAGACTCCAGCCAACAGATAAATGTATCAACTATCATTAGGGGGAAATATTAATGATGTGACTAAGTGACTCCTCAGCTGAGCTGCAGGAGTATTACTGAGCTGACAGGATCTATGTGGGTTCATGCAGAGCGACTTCAGCAGGTTGGGGGAGCAGTTACAGCCCAACACCAGCAAACAAAACCACAGAATCAGCAACAACAACACAACGATGTGACAACAAACCCAAACACAGCACAACATCCTGCAGCCAGCGTCGACTACAGGCTCGAGTGCAGCAGTTCAGAGAGTTCAGAGATCACAGCAAAACACCAGCCTCAGCACATACACAACCATCAGACACAGGACCTCAAGTACACATACATGTACTGCATGTACTACATATATTACATATACTCATTTACTGCATCTCAAAAAACACTTTCAGTTTCACTGTGAGCTCTGAATATGAAAAGTTCATTTACTCCAGTTCTGTCCTGTGTAGTTGTGTCTCTTGTGTAGATTTGTCCTCGTCATGTTTCCATCTCTGAGTTGTTTTCTACTCGATACTTGTCGCATTTCATTTTAATAACTGATTTTAAAACGGTAAAAGTCCTGCAATCAAAATCCTAAAAAGTAAAAGTCCTTCCTGTGTAGGAAAGAAGAAAAAACCAAGCACTGATAAACAAATCTGTTTTCATGTTTTGGACTTCTCTCTTTGATTTTTTTAAAAAGTTGTATCATTTGAACTTTTACTGAAATTAAACACTGAGGTCACAAACCAAAGTATAACACTAATGTGTTGTCTGTGTTCATGAAAACTCTTAATGCTGTCAGCAGTGGAGATCATGATTAACAGGAGTTAATCCTCCTCCTGTCTTTGTCAATTAAACTGACACAACAAATCAACATATCACTTTAGAGCACCACCCAGATCAACACTGTATGACCTATCTGGCACACACACACACACACACCCGGATGTTCACCTGCTACAGGTGTGAGGAGCTCACCTGCCCAGACCTTTAATCCCAGACGATCCTCGGGCCAGACACTGCAGTCTGAGTTTCTCCACCGGGTCTGAACACTCAGAGAGCTGACGCTTGGCGTTTATCGCCATCTCTCGATCATGCCTTGATGTTCCCGCCATCTCTGACATCACAGAGAGGAAACATGTGTTATCAGACATTATAAATACTTTCATAGTAATGTCTATGAATCTAATTTATCTTTGCCTATATTTAGAATATACCTTTTGTGATCAGCTATGGTTGTTTGTGTGTTTGTTTGGTTTTGTGCCATGATATGATTGAGTGTTGTTTTCCATGTACAGTAACTGTTTTCCTCATTGTTGAAAAACAATAAAAAAAGAACTTTGAAAGAAAGAAAATATGGTGTATTGTTACAGACTAAAGAAAAGCAAAAAGGGCTGAGATTGGAGCAACAAAGGCTTAGATGGACATGCACTCACTGATATGATTAGGCAGAAAGAGTCTGAGTATAATCAGGCATAAAATTTAAAAAAAAAAGTCATATTATACTTAGGTATAAAAACGTGAAAAAAACCTCATAGTATAGTAAGGCATAAAAATGTCACGGTATTGCAAGCCGCAAAAACATAATAGTATAATAACCATAAAAACATCATAGTAATGTAAACCACAAACAGTCATAAAAAAGTCACAGTATAATAAATCATAATTTCATAAAAAGTCATACTATAGTAAGGCATGAAAATGTCATAGTGTAATAAAGTAAAAAAAAGTCCAAAAAAAGTGATAGTAAGACATAACAAGTCATAAAAACAGCATAGTATAGTGAGGCATAAAATTCATGAAAACTTTATATTATAGTAAGACGTAAAAAGTCATGAAAATGTAATAGTGTAGTAAGGCATAAAAAGTAAAAAAAAAGTCATAAAAAGTCATAGTTTGTCAAAGTATAAATACTCAAAAAAAAGTCATAGTATAGTAAGGCATAAAAAAGCATAAAAAGTCATAGTATAGTAAGGCATATAAAGCAATACAAACCTCATAGTATAGTAAAGCATAAACAGTCATAGTAAAAGTAAAAAAAAACGTCATAATATAGTAACGCATTAAAAGTAAAAAAAAACGTCATAGTATAGTAAGGCAAAAAAAGTCATAGTAAAGTAAGGCATAAACAGTCATAATATAGTAAAGCATAAACAGTCATTGTATAGCAAGGCATAAAAAGTAAAAAAAAAAGTAAAACTATAGTAAGGCATAAAAAGTAAAAAAAACGTCATAGTATAGTAAGGCATAAAAAGTCATAATATGTCATAGTGTAGTAAGGCATAAAAAGTCATAATAAGTCATAGTGTAGTAAGGCATAAAAAGTAAAAAAAAAGTCATAAAAAGTCATAGTATATCAAAGTATAAATACTCAAAAAAAGTCATAGTATAGTAAGGCATAAAAAGTCATAGTATAGTAAGGCACAAAATGTCAGTAGAGTACGACATAAAAAATAAAAAAAAAGTCATAGTATAGTAAGGCATAAAAAGCAATATAAACCTCATAGTATAGTAAAGCATAAACAGTCATAGTATAGTAAGGCATAAAAAAGACATAAAAAAGTCATAGTATATAAAAGTATAAATACTCAAAAAAAGTCATAGTATAGTAAGGCATAAAATGTAAAAAAAAAGTCATAGTATAGCAAGGCATAAAAAGTCATAGTATAGTAAGGCACAAAATGTCATAGTTTAGTAAGACATAAAAAGTCAGAAAAAATTCATAGTATAGTAAGGCATAAAAAGAAAAAACGTTGGTATAGTAAGGCATAAAAAGTCATAAAAACATTATAGGAAAGTAAGAAATTAAAAGTCAAAAAAACGTCATAGTATAGTAAGGCATAAAAGGTAAAAAAAAAGTCATAGTATAGTAAGGCATAAGAAAAAAAACATCAAAGTATGGTAAGGTATAAAAAGTAAAAAAAAAAAGTCATAGTATAGTAAGGCATAAAAAGTCAAAAAAACGTCATAGTATAGTAAGGTATAAAAAGTAAAAAAAAACGTCGTAAGGCAGTAGGGAAAAAAAAGTCAAAAAAAACGACGTAGTAAAGTTAGAAAAAAAAAGTCATAGTATAGTAAGGCATAAAAAGTCAAAAAAACGTCATAGTATAGCAAGGTATAAACATTCAAAAAAAACTTCATAGTATAGTAAGGCATAAAAAGTCAAAAAAACGTCATAGTATAGCAAGGTATAAACATTCAAAAAAAACTTCATAGTATAGTAAGGTATAAAAAGTCAAAAAAAACGTCATAGTATAGTAAGGTATAAAAAGTAAAAAAAAACGTGATATTATAGTAAGGTATAAAAAGTTAAAAAAAAAAGTCATAGTATAATAAGGCATAAAAAGTAAAAAAAAAACATCATAGTATAGTAAGGCATTAAAAGTAAAAAAAAAAATCATGGTATACTAAGGGATAAAAAGTAAAAAAAAACATCATAGTATAGTAAGACATAAAATGTCATAGTATAGTAAGGCATAAAAAGTCATAAAAACATCATAGTATAGTAAGGCATTAAAAGTAAAAAAAAACGTCATAGTATAGTAAGGTATGAAAAGTTAAAAAAACGTCATAGTATAGTAAGGCATTAAAAGTAAAAAAAAACGTCATAGTATAGTAAGGTATGAAAAGTTAAAAAAACGTCATAGTATAGTAAGGCATTAAAAGTAAAAAAAAACGTCATAGTATAGTAAGGTATGAAAAGTTAAAAAAACGTCATAGTATAGTAAGGCATTAAAAGTAAAAAAAAACGTCATAGTATAGTAAGGTATGAAAAGTTAAAAAAACGTCATAGTATAGTAAGGCATTAAAAGTAAAAAAAAACGTCATAGTATAGTAAGGTATGAAAAGTTAAAAAAACGTCATAGTATAGTAAGGCATTAAAAGTAAAAAAAAACGTCATAGTATAGTAAGGTATGAAAAGTTAAAAAAACGTCATAGTATAGTAAGGCATTAAAAGTAAAAAAAAACGTCATAGTATAGTAAGGTATGAAAAGTTAAAAAAACGTCATAGTATAGTAAGGCATTAAAAGTAAAAAAAAACGTCATAGTATAGTAAGGTATGAAAAGTTAAAAAAACGTCATAGTATAGTAAGGCATTAAAAGTAAAAAAAAACGTCATAGTATAGTAAGGTATGAAAAGTTAAAAAAACGTCATAGTATAGTAAGGCATTAAAAGTAAAAAAAAACGTCATAGTATAGTAAGGTATGAAAAGTTAAAAAAACGTCATAGTATAGTAAGGCATTAAAAGTAAAAAAAAACGTCATAGTATAGTAAGGTATGAAAAGTTAAAAAAACGTCATAGTATAGTAAGGCATTAAAAGTAAAAAAAAACGTCATAGTATAGTAAGGTATGAAAAGTTAAAAAAACGTCATAGTATAGTAAGGCATTAAAAGTAAAAAAAAACGTCATAGTATAGTAAGGTATGAAAAGTTAAAAAAACGTCATAGTATAGTAAGGCATTAAAAGTAAAAAAAAACGTCATAGTATAGTAAGGTATGAAAAGTTAAAAAAACGTCATAGTATAGTAAGGCATTAAAAGTAAAAAAAAACGTCATAGTATAGTAAGGTATGAAAAGTTAAAAAAACGTCATAGTATAGTAAGGCATTAAAAGTAAAAAAAAACGTCATAGTATAGTAAGGTATGAAAAGTTAAAAAAACGTCATAGTATAGTAAGGCATTAAAAGTAAAAAAAAACGTCATAGTATAGTAAGGTATGAAAAGTTAAAAAAACGTCATAGTATAGTAAGGCATTAAAAGTAAAAAAAAACGTCATAGTATAGTAAGGTATGAAAAGTTAAAAAAACGTCATAGTATAGTAAGGCATTAAAAGTAAAAAAAAACGTCATAGTATAGTAAGGTATGAAAAGTTAAAAAAACGTCATAGTATAGTAAGGCATTAAAAGTAAAAAAAAACGTCATAGTATAGTAAGGTATGAAAAGTTAAAAAAACGTCATAGTATAGTAAGGCATTAAAAGTAAAAAAAAACGTCATAGTATAGTAAGGTATGAAAAGTTAAAAAAACGTCATAGTATAGTAAGGCATTAAAAGTAAAAAAAAACGTCATAGTATAGTAAGGTATGAAAAGTTAAAAAAACGTCATAGTATAGTAAGGCATTAAAAGTAAAAAAAAACGTCATAGTATAGTAAGGTATGAAAAGTTAAAAAAACGTCATAGTATAGTAAGGCATTAAAAGTAAAAAAAAACGTCATAGTATAGTAAGGTATGAAAAGTTAAAAAAACGTCATAGTATAGTAAGGCATTAAAAGTAAAAAAAAACGTCATAGTATAGTAAGGTATGAAAAGTTAAAAAAACGTCATAGTATAGTAAGGCATTAAAAGTAAAAAAAAACGTCATAGTATAGTAAGGTATGAAAAGTTAAAAAAACGTCATAGTATAGTAAGGCATTAAAAGTAAAAAAAAACGTCATAGTATAGTAAGGTATGAAAAGTTAAAAAAACGTCATAGTATAGTAAGGCATTAAAAGTAAAAAAAAACGTCATAGTATAGTAAGGTATGAAAAGTTAAAAAAACGTCATAGTATAGTAAGGCATTAAAAGTAAAAAAAAACGTCATAGTATAGTAAGGTATGAAAAGTTAAAAAAACGTCATAGTATAGTAAGGCATTAAAAGTAAAAAAAAACGTCATAGTATAGTAAGGTATGAAAAGTTAAAAAAACGTCATAGTATAGTAAGGCATTAAAAGTAAAAAAAAACGTCATAGTATAGTAAGGTATGAAAAGTTAAAAAAACGTCATAGTATAGTAAGGCATTAAAAGTAAAAAAAAACGTCATAGTATAGTAAGGTATGAAAAGTTAAAAAAACGTCATAGTATAGTAAGGCATTAAAAGTAAAAAAAAACGTCATAGTATAGTAAGGTATGAAAAGTTAAAAAAACGTCATAGTATAGTAAGGCATTAAAAGTAAAAAAAAACGTCATAGTATAGTAAGGTATGAAAAGTTAAAAAAACGTCATAGTATAGTAAGGCATTAAAAGTAAAAAAAAACGTCATAGTATAGTAAGGTATGAAAAGTTAAAAAAACGTCATAGTATAGTAAGGCATTAAAAGTAAAAAAAAACGTCATAGTATAGTAAGGTATGAAAAGTTAAA